AGCCGAGTGAGTAGGGGGGAGTTGTGTTTGTGTGGGTGTGACGTGTGAGTAACGCGAGTGTGTGTGTGTGTGACGTGTGTGTGTGACGTGTGTGTGTGACGTGTGTGTGTGACGTGTGTGTGAGACGTGTGAGTAACGCGGCTGTGTGTGTAACGCGGCTGTGTGTGTGTGTGTGTGTGTGTGTGTAGCGCGAGTGTGTGTGTGTGTGACGTGTGTGTGTGTGTGTGTGTGTGTGTGTGTTTCAGGGCCGTACGGACACACGGTGAAGCAGTATTCTCCGTCAGGGAAGCTGCTGCAGGTTCTGGGATCTCCTGGGAAAGCCGGATCTTCTCTCAGTCCGCTCCAGTTCGACCAGCCGGCTGAAATATTCGTGCACAGTTCTGGAGAAATCTACATAGTGGACGGAGACGGCGGCATGAACAACCGCCTGATCAAACTCTCCAGAGGTGCGCTTTATGATGATTTTAGCATCACTGGCTCTCATTAGCTCACATTTCTACACGCGTTTACTTCTCATCAAACATTTCTGCTTGATTGACAGTATGTGTGTATCAGCATTATTTCAGTATCCTCAAGGTATTATTATAGTTTTTAATTCATATTTTATTTTTACAATTTCTGTTTTACTATAGTTTTAGTAAATGTTTTAATAATGTTGTTGTGAGGTTTGGTTACTTTTTAATAATTTTTATTCATTTTTTTTTCTTTTTAGTTATTTTAGTGCATCAACTTAAACTAAATGAGAAAGTGAAATGCCCTGGCAACTAGCTGAAATAATATAATATCAAATAAGGCAAGGCAAGTTTATCTATATAGCACATTTCATACACAATCATAATTCAAAGTGCTTTACATAAAAGGAATTAAAATAATCAAAATAATAATTTTATTATAACACGCGCATATATATATAATGAATTGTGTAATTTGCACAAAACACGTCCACAATGAAAAAAACAATATTATTAGTTGCTCTTACATTTCTTAAATATAGAATACATTTGAATAGAAAATCCGGGTTTGTATGTGAAAACGTTCATGCACAGATGAGAGAATGTGACGCATCGGTGTGTGTCAGATCTGCAGGTGCTGTGGATGCACGGAGAGAGAGGACAGGGACTCGCTCAGTTCTACATCCCTCACAGTGTGGCGGTCGACAGCTACCAGAGGGTTTGTGTCAATGTTCTTCCTCACTTCTGTTTCTGAATGACCTCAACATGAAAACATGCTCGCCCTCAGGTCATCCCAGATGTAGGTGAGTGTGTGTCTTCATCATGTTTGGAGAAATGTAGCACTGCATCAGTGTGTCACTGCAAGTGAATGGGTGCCGTCAGAATGAGAGCTGATAAAAACATCACAATAATCCACAGCACTCCAGTCCATCAGTGAACATCTGGAGAAGACAAAAGCTGAAACTAATCCAGCATTAAGACGCTTTTAACTAAAATACATTGAGTCTATAATCCATAATAACTCTTCCTCCAGTGAAAAAGTGCATCTGCTGTTGTCTCTCGCATCAAAATCCAGCCACATATGTGTTTAGAGCTGTTTAAACGCTGCTTGATCTGTGCAGATTTCTCTCCTGATTCACACCAGAACACTGACTCACTGGAGGAAGAGTTATTATGGATTATGAACTCATATTTTAGTTAAAAAGGTCTTAATGCTGGATTAGTTTCAGCTTTTGTCTTCTCCAGATGTTCACTGATGGACTGGAGTGCTGTGGATTATTGTGATGTTTTTATCAGCTGTTTGGACTCTCATTCTGACGGCACCCATTCACTGCAGAGCATCCATTGCTGAGACACTGATGCAGTGCTACATTTCTCCAAACCTGATGAAGAAACGCACTCATCCTGATCTGGGATGACCTGAGGGTGAACACATTTTCAGCAGGTTTTAATTTTGGGTGAACTGTTCCTTTAAGATCCTGTTTGATGGCATTACAGCGGTCAGGTGGGTTGTGAATGTAGTTGACTGATGCATTGTTAACCGTGGCTGAACGAGCTTTGATGTGGGCTCATGTAATATAAAGTAGTTTTCAAATGTGTGTCTTCATGTTCTGTACCATTAAGATTCCTTGATGATGCTTTTCTCTGAAGGATTTCTTGAAGATCGTTGGCTCTTAGAGATCCAGAGAGAGTTAGCGGCGTCTGTCAGAGGTGAGTGTGTTTAAAACAATCGTTCAGAAAACATTCAGATCTGCTGAAAATGTGCTCATCTGAGATCAGGATGAGTTTGTGTCTTCGTCAGAGATGTTCACTGATGGACTGGAGTGCTGTGGATTATTGTGATGTTTTTATCAGCTCTCGTTCTGACGGCACCCATTCACTTGCAGTGAGACACTGATGCAACGCTGCATTTCTCCAGATCTGACGAAGAAACAAACTCATCCTGATCTCAGATGATCTGAGGGTGAGCATGTTTTCATTTTTGGGTGAACTATTCTTGTAATGTGCATTACATGTGTATTATATATACAGGGTGATCTGCAGTTCCTCTGTGTGTGTGTGTGTGTGTGTGTGTGTGTGTGTGTGTGTGTGTGTGTGTGTGTGTGTGTGTGTAGTTGATGATTCAGCAGGAGAAGCCGTTGGCGGGCAGCATGCCGGTGGTTTGGCCCACGCTGCTCGACCTCAGCAGAGATGAGTGCAAGCGAATCCTGCGCAAACTGGGTGAGACTCGCTGAAGCGTGTAAGCAGCTGTGCTGATGTGTGTGTCGATGGTGAGCTCACGCGTGTCGTGTGTTTGTGTGTTCAGAGCTGGAAGCGTACGCCGGCGTGATCAGCGCGCTCCGCGCTCAAGGAGATCTCACTAAAGACAAGAAGGAGCTGCTGGGAGAACTCACTCGAGTGCTGAGGTGTCGCACACCTTTCTCTTTTCACAGTACTCTTATCTTAATCTTAACTTCCGTCTCTGATATCTCAATGTCTTCTAGTCACGTCGAGCTGTTTAGTATGGAAGCCTGCTAAAAACAAAGAGTAAAAAAATGTCAAACTTAAAAATGTTTTTTTTTTTCTTCTTGCAGTCATGACAATTTTTTTCTGAACTGTGTGATATAAAGTTGTAAAGTCAGAAAAGATAGATTCTCATAAAGTCAGAAGTAACTGTGATAGAAATACATGTAGAATTGCAAGATATAGACTAGCGATTATGAGGGAAAAAAGTTGCAGTTACCTTTTTGTATTTTTGGTTCAATGGCAGAACTGGGCTTCCGTAGTTTAAAGCTGAACACTTGCATAGTTTACATTAGCAGACAATATAAACATCAGTCAGATCTGCTATTAATATATATGGCTTTATGTGAGTGTACACTACCAGTCAAGACAGTAAGTTTTATAAAGTCTCTTCTGCTCACCAAGCCTGCATTTATTTGATCAGAAATACAGCAAAAACAGTAAAATTCTGAAATATTTGTACTATTTAAAACAGCTGTGTTTTCTATGTGAATATGTGTTAGACTGTAATGTATTTCTGTGATGCGCAGCTGTATTTTCAGCATCATTCCTCCAGTCTTCAGTGTCACATGATCTTCAGAAATCAGTATAATATGCTGATCTGCTGCTCGAGAAAAAAACATTTATTATTATGATGTTGAAAACAGCTGAGTAGAATTTTTTTCAGGATTCACAGATGAATAGAAAGTTCAGAAGAGCAGCATTTATCTGAAATAGAAATCTTCTGTAACATTATAAATGTCTTTGATCAATTTAAAGCATCCTTGCTAAATAAAAGTATTAATTTCTATAATTTCTTCCATTACCGTTTTATTGAATGATGCAGTGTATAATGTTACAAAAGCTTTTTATTTCAGATAAATGCTGATCTTTGGATCTTTCTGTTCATCAAAGAATCCTGAAAAACAGTATTCAACTGTTTTAAATATTGATAGTAATAATAAAGCAGCATATTATACTGATTTCTGAAGATCATGTGACACTGAAGACTGGAGGAATGATGCTGAAAATACAGCTGCGCATCACAGAAATACATTACAGTTTAACACATATTCACATAGAACACAGCTGTTTTACATTCTAATAATATTTCACTATTTTACTGCTATTGGATCAAATAAAAGCAGGCTTGCTGTTGAGAAACTCTTGACTGCTAGTGTATGTAAGCTGGATATGCACGTAATAGTTGTTAGTGTGTTGTTTTGCAGTGATACTGAGGATGATGTGTGTGTGTGGTGTGTTCTGTCAGTATCTCGACGGAGCGGCATCGAGCGGAGGTGCGCAGAGCCGTGAACGACGAGCGCCTGACCACCATCGCGTATCAGTGAGTGTCAGCCGTTAGTCAGATGTGACCGCTCTAGTGCTCCAGTGACCTGCAGCTGGAATAATGCTCGTGTGTCCTGCAGCATGTCGGGGCCCAACAGCTCGGCGGAGTGGTCCATCGAGGGCCGGCGGCTGGTTCCTCTCATGCCCAGACTGGTTCCTCAGACGGCCTTCACTGTGATGGCCAACGCGATGGCCAACGCCACGGCGCACCAGAACGCCTCGCTGCTGCTGCCCGCCGAAACCGCCAACAAAGAAGGTACAAGTGATGTTACTTCACTACAGTAATTAAACACTATTCAGCAATAACACAAATCAAACACAAATGTGTCATTTCTGATTATTAGTATGATTGAATTGGATCATCGAAGGTCAGCAGCAAAGACACTGGTTAATAAAATGGGATTAAATACATAAGTGATATTTGTCTTATTTAACAATTATTGCAGGTTTGTATAATATTCTGAGTTTGTATTTGACAGTATTTATTGATTGTGAGGAGCACTGAATGTGTTTGTGTGCAGTGAGATGAGTAAACACATGTTGATATTGAGTCTAGAGCTACAGTAAGATCATGTTCACACACAACACTCTGCTCTTACTCCTGATTTCTGTCACCATGGCAACACCAGAGCTGTCACTCAATGCATGGAAACAAAGTAGCTGTTACTTATTTGAAAGATAACTCCGATATTTCCTTCTAAATGATAAAGTAATGCGTTACTTTACTAGTTACTTAAAAAAAGTAATCTGATTACGTAACATGTGTTACCCCCAACACTAGGGCTGGGGAAATAAATCAATGCATCGAGAAATGATTCCGCATCGATTCTGAGATTTTCCGAATGCATGGCGATTCTTTCTCGAGTCGATTCTGAGCTTAGTTTTGAACACTGCATGCTTTAGAAACAGCCAAATCCTTACACTCGAACCTAAAATAATCACTCATAAGATTCGAGAAGGTTGAAGCGAATCACAAGGGTGTTCACAGTGGGCTGAGTTTACATTAATCTCATCATAAACGCATTCTGAGCCGAGGTGAAATTACAGCTCTTCAGCTCTTCCTCATGAGTGTTTGAGTGTGAGGATGAAAACTAGAGTAGAGCGCCACCTGCTGTTGAAATCTACGCTCAGAACCCATTCCAGAGAGAATCATGCACTCAGAAGATCTCAGAATCGCTCCACGAATCGATTCTGCATCAATTTATCGTCGCAGACCTAGTAATTATTCATGGGCTTTTATTTTGTTTTCATTTTAGTTTAAGTTTTGGTCATTTTTGTTATGTGCTTTGTCAGTTTTATTATTTTTTTAAACATTTCTGTTTAGATTTAATTTACTTTAATTTAGTTCTGGCAATTTTAGTATTTCAACTGCAATTTATTAATTTCATTTTATTTTAAGTTTTTCATATTTTTATGTTTTTCATCTGTTTATATTTTATTTGCTTACACTTTATATTAGGCATTCTTAACTACTACTATTTGGTACTGTATTGTGTGTATACATTTTAAAAAGTTTTAGTTGACAGTAACAACATATTATAATATTATTATTAACAATAATAATTTGTATATGTTGTCTATTCTATGTTTTGAGGTTAATATGTTAAAAACTGTATTTTTTAAATTTAGTTAATAACAAAAGCAACATTATTGTGGTTGTTTATTTTATTTTATTATAATTTCTTTATTTTTTTGTTTATGTTGTGTCTGAGTAATCTATGTTTTGTGGTTGATATAAGTATAAAAGAGTAGTAAATTTCTATTTTTAGTGAACAATACCAACATTATTTTTTATTATAATTATTTTTTTTAAATATAAATTTATGTTGTGTCTAGGGATGTCAAAAAAAATAGAATTTCGAATATTCATTGAATTTAAAATTAAATAAATTCGCATTCGAATGCAAAAATGTTGCATTTGAATGTTAGGTGTGCGTCAGACAGCTTTATCAGCGGCGCACCAGATGCGATGACGATGTAAGTGTCGTTGCATTTGAATGTTTTTGTTAGCTTATCCAGTTGAAGGCACTAGATGCGGCGCTGCTGCGTTGTTCATTCAAAATATTACTGCGGAGATGATGCTGTTTACATCAAAACTGAAACAAGCCGTTCACACAGAACACATATTTCACGCATTTTCTAGAGGGACATCTATCACCGCTGCACTCGCGTCTCGCACAAGAGAGCCGCATGTTTAGAAAGTCATGTAAAATTAACGCAAGTTTAACTTTTAAAAAACATGTCTCGAGACTTTATGACGGTTTTCCCCATCCCACTGCATCTCATGTTTTTAAATAAAGAAAGCACTCTTTGTGATTGGTTTTCGGTCCTTTGTATTAAACTATACATACATGATGCTGTTTTGCTTCTAATTGTTTAAGCAAATTTATTATATATGTTTATAAACATTAATTTAAACATTATGCACTTTTTTTCAAAGATAGTCGTTTTATTTTATAGCTTTGAAGAAATGCGCGTTAGTAATATTTTGCTCGATGCGCCCTCTTGTGGCTTCAGGAGAGAAGCCAAAATATTTTTCCCCACTACCGAAATTACGCATTTTAAATTCGAATATAATTTGAATATTGATTTAAGTACAAAATTCGAATTGAGTTTCAGCTATTTTGACAGCCCTAGTTGTGTCTGTGTAATCTATGTTTTGTGGTTAATATAATACACACTCTCAGAGACCGGAAGTGTGTTCCTCACTCTGTGTGTGTGTGTGTGTGTGTGTGTGTGTGTGTTGCAGTGGTGGTGTGTTATTCGTACACCAGCACCACCTCCACTCCACCCAGCGCATCGGCTCCCAGCAGCTCCAGCGCAGCAGCGGCCGTCAAATCCCCTCGACCCGCCAGCCCTGCCTCAAACGTGGTGGTGCTGCCCAGCGGGAGTACGGTCTACGTCAAGAGTACGTCTCTCTCTCACACACACGCACACACACACACACACTCTCACACGCACACACATTCTCACGCACACACACACACACTCTCACGCACACACTCACTCACTCACACACACACGCACACACACACACACACACACACACACACACACACACACACACACACACACACTCTCTCACTCACACGCACACACACACTCACACACTCACACGCACACACACACTCTCTCACTCACACGCACACACACACTCTCTCACTCACACGCACACACACACTCTCTCTCACACACAGTAGTGAACACACACACACACACACACTCACACTCATACACACTCACACTCACACTCTCACACGCACACACACACACATTCTCACACGCACACACACACTCTCACACACACGCACACACTCTCTCACACACACGCACACACACTCTCTCACACAAGCACGCACACACACACACACTCTCTCACCCACGCACGC